TGTGTTACACATTCTCTACTTTGAAGAATCTGAAGACTTAGTCTCCTCTTAATGAAGCTAGAGAGGAGTCAGAAACAGCAGAAACAGTAGAAACACACACACACACACACACACACACACACACACACACACACACACGAAGAACACTGGTAGGATAGAGCTGGGAAGGAATGGAGAAGCCAGAGGTGTGGAGGGGAAATAAAGAAACAAGTTGAGAGAACTGATAGAGGGGGGCATGCCAGGTACCCATCCAAGAAAGCTCAGGTACTGGGAAGTAAAACATTTTATTCCGTTCCTGCACTGTGAATGCATTTGCCATTGTTAAGACTGTGTTTTCAATGGGAATGACTACCAAGGTCTGGACATGGTGTACCGAAATAGCCACATAAATTTAAAACTACTACCATACTGGAATGTATTTCATGGTTTTGTGGGTCAAGAATTCTGGCAGGGATTGGCTGGGTGATTCTTCAATCTCATGTGACATCGACAGAGATCAATGAGTAGTGATATTCCACTGCTCGATGAGGTGGTTTACAGGGTACAAGACAGCATCACTCATGTGTCTAGTTTCTGGGGTGGGGGAGTTGGAATGTGGGGACTTGGGTGTGGGGATCACCTATACTTGGATTATCAGCATGGCAGCCTCAGAGTAGTCCTATTTCTACATTGGGTGGCTTAGGGCTCTGAAATCCAGCAGAAACAAGGAAACTACAAAGAATTCTTGAAAGCCAACTTCTCAATTCTTAGAGTATTCAGTCGATATTCCGTTGGCTGTAGTAATGGGAAACACATGCAGATTCAACAAGGTAGGAAAAGGCACCGTTTTTCTACTGGGAGGACTATGAATAAATTTTAACCATGTTTTAAAAACTTTCATATCTTAAGTAGAGATATGAAGAGCGCTGATTATGAGCAAATACTATTTCCTATCTGTTTTCAACCTTGTTAAAGTCCAATCCAGCAAGCACTTTAATTTTTCTTACTTTAAAAAAACTGAGACATAATGAAATTAACAAAGAAGTTAAGCAATTTGCTTCAGATCCAGGTGCTTGAGTCCTCAGTGATAGAGCAGGACATTCTGTCTAATCTCTTCAGATTATATTCAGATTAGAAAGAGGCCTTCCTAAAATATCAACCATGTCTGTGATAAACTCATGGTGATGGGTAGAAGATAGGACAAATAAATTCAAATCATAATTTAAAAATAATTTTACATTTGACTTTGAAATGCATTTTCACGTTTCCATTTAATTACTCAAGTGTCTGGGGAATTCCTATTCAGTGCACAAATTTATAGCCATAGATAGAGTCAAAGAAGCCCTGGATAACTATAAAGCTGCTCTATTCTGCCTTTCTTCTCATTTTTTTGGTCATAGATTCTAGGACATAAAGGTCAACCCTCAGATGGATGCTGGAGGCCAACTTAAACAATGCATCCCTCCTCCCATATCCCTGGAAGCAGGCACAGTATGTAAGTATGTTTTCCTCTATCTTTTTCATTGAATTGGGGTAAGGGAGATGGGATTTTCTATTTTGTAAAAAGGTGATGATAATAACATCCATTTTCTAGGGTCACTATCTACAAAGATTAATTTGCTTTCAAAAAAATAAACTTAACCCACACTGTCAAGTTTTATATGTCCTGTCTACCACTCCTCCCAGAGACTGACACAGGGAAAGAAGGAAGGGAGGATGAAAGGGAAGGGAGAGAAGTGAGAAGGGACAAAGAGGAGTTGAAGTTGTAAAGATACTAGTAAACTTGGGGGCTTGGTTTAGTTGTTATAGAGGGTTGATGAAGAAATTCTTTTGAAAAAAAATTTATTTAAAGTACAAAGTATTGTTCAACCATCATAAAAATACCAATTTATATGTAATGATAAAAATAAGAGATCCACATAGCTTTCTAGGTCAGCATCCCTAGGAGCACTGTTTTTTGTGACTAGAATTTTAAAAATTCCTCTTTAAGATTTATTCCTACTTTGGAGACACAGAACATGGCAATGGTTTGCCCAGGAAGCACACAGTTCATCTGGTTACATTTCTAGGAGCCAAGGAAACCAGTCTATTTTGAAGAATTCATTGCATAAACAGACTCAGCACCACTCTAAATTATTCCACTCATTTGGAATGAAATAAACTTGCTTATACCTAAAGCTGCACATCATGATTTATCTGCCAATTTCCCCTGTTGTGGACGGGCTAAAACAATCTCAGCACATTTTATACATGTCCTTTATACCTCCTGGGTCTTCTGCTTCTGAGAAACACAATGGCTGTGTTGTTGGGTTAAGAAAGTGCACAGTCTAACCAGCCCAGACTGGCCTACGATAGAGAGCAGACAAGATATTCCTGGTACAATAATTCAAGAGTGAGTCTTTGCAAGGGTTTTCTCTCCTCCACCAGCGTGGCAGGGCAATCTGTTAAGACCCTGCGATAGGTCTAGCTCTTATTCCAGATTTTGGTGAAAATTTCAGAAAATGAGAAACTGTACTGTGACCAGAGGAGTGTGATCCTTTTCTGGGTAGCCTGATAGATCCCCTTATAACTTGGACTCTTCCATGGTGATTCTACTGGAGCCATGAGATACGGTTCTGACCAGTCTCTTGGAGAGACTGGCTCACAAACTTGTTCATATAGTTGTTCAACAACTATTTAACAAGTGTCAGGAATTGTTAGAGATGGACAAAACAATAAAGGAATTTCCTTTATGCTTTCAAGTAGCTCTCAGTCTGGAAAATGATGCAGCACAAAATTCAGATTTGGGTGCAAAACCCTGGCTCACTTCTCTCCAAGAATATAATTCCACTGGACTCCTATTTCCTCATCTGTAATAAATTGATAATATGACTTATTTTTGAAGGCTGATGTGAGGATTGAGTTTGCAGTTTCAAAGCATGTGGTCTGTGCTGACCACACAGTACTTAAAAGGAACTTAGGGATTTTACCAGAAGAATGACCACCCCATCATCATTTTTTCACATATGGATGAATGAATACTTAAGTCCCACAGATATTAAGGTTCCCAGAAAAAAATTCAAGGCCCTCTTCTAGTCTCCTCAGGTTTATCTAACACAATATCTGAGCCTGGGGAATTTATAAAGATTAGAAGGCCATTTCTCATAATCCTGGAAGTCCAGGATCAGGTACCAAGGTTTTTGCATCTGCTGAGAACATAGTCTCTGCTTCCAAGATAGCATGTTGCCACTGAGTTCTCTAGCAGAGGGAATGGTAAAGGGGATACTAGGGGTGGAAAAGGGCCAACTCTTTGTGTCAAACAGTTGTTTTTGTTTAGAGCATCTAATCTTCTCTGATGACTCAAACAACACCTCAAACTCATCACTTAAGATCATTATATTAGGGATTAGGCTTCAACATGAACTTTTAAAAAGGCAGAAATATTCAAAACACAGTATCCTTTGGACAACTAGAGAATTCAAAAGTGATGCTGAGAGTTGTGGAATAAGTAGGTACACAGGTGAGGATAGGAGTGGTCCAGTCAGACATCTGAGTCGCCATATTTTCTGGAAGTTTTCTAGAGTCCTGAACTGATCCAGAGACTGAGCCCTGTCTCATACCTCTGTCAGTTTAGAAACTAAACTCTGCACTCGAATACCCTTGTAGCAGCTTTCTGGCAGAAGCCAGATCCTTTTGACCCTCCATAAATGCCTGGCTGTCAGAATATACAAGTTCAGGCCCAGGCACATTTGCTAAACTTCTTGAACTCTTGGCTATTCATCTGCTGTGAGCACACTCAGGCAACACAGACGCTCAAAGGCAGGCGTGGGTGGTCACTCACATTGCTCTCACATGGAACCAGTTCTCAAAGGAGGAGTCATCTACTCAGTAACATATAGTAATAAATATGTTTCCAGAGCCAGAGCTTACAATCTTACACCCATTGTCCTGCTCTTAAAAGCAGGAAAATGGAGAGAACCTGACTTTTGTGTAGAAGCAGTGAATGTTCTCAGATGGAGAGCCCTCAGAAATCTTACTGGAACACCAAAGAGTTCTGCTATGAGGACACCTCTCTAGCTCAGTTCTTTTGGCTTTTAAGGTTGTTAACCTGATCTGCTCTTTCAGATTTACCATTCAAAAATCCCTTTAAGCAGTTCTCTCACAGCCAAACTGGTCAGTGTCCCCTGCTCCACCTTTCTTCCATCTCGTTTGACTTTCTTGCCTTTCAGCCCATATCTCCAGCTGGCAAACCCTGATAATGGCCAACAGAAAGAGCTTATTAGATATTTGCTGATGTAATACCTTTCTTTGCCCCCAGTATTGTTCTATAAATCTCTTTAGGAGGCAAACATAGTATCCATATCAAGATAAGAAGCCTGCTCTCCAGATGTTTGCTGTAGCTGGAATGGGAGACTGTATCTTTTGTGTATTACACTCTCTCCTTGTTAATGAAGTAGAGAGCAGGGAAAGTTGGACTACATAATGGATGGTGTTTTTAGAAAATTTATTAGCATTATTATTGACTGGTATTGGATGTTGACTCCATCAAATAAAGAGATGAAATAAAATAATGACAACTTTTATGCTGATTTTAACGTGTCTTATTCATTCAAATTATCTCATTAAAATTTGCAAAGCTCTTTTGAGGCTGTTAATACTACTCATCTTACATGGAGATAGAAGCCAACAAAGTTTAAGGTTACACAGCTAGAAAATACAGTAGAGACTAAATCCAAATCTGTTGGCTCAGGACATGTTAAATAAAATACAGACGGAAAAAAGGAAAAAACAAAAAAAGTGAAAAGCCCTGGGAATGCACCAGGAGGCAGAGCCCACAAGAAGTAAGTGTACCCTAGGATTCTTCGTCCAGGCTGGCGAATTGATGGATTAGGAGGGAGGGAAGCAGCCTGCGGAAGGTCTAGAGTAGCGACGTGGAGGAGGCTAGGTTTGGACTGGGAAAGATCCGCAGTCCCTCTCCAGAGTCTCGCCTCAGTTTTCCCTTGGAGTTCAGAAAATGCGGCGTTGCTTGGTCCTGCGCGGCCACCGTAGAGTCCCCGTTGCCATGACTCCTAGATTCTGAAGCCGACGCGAAGGGGCAGCCTCAGAGGTGAAGGGAGTCCCGGGAGCCTGGGTCTGGCTTCCAAGGGCAGCGAACAGGAAAGGTGCCATGGGCTGGAGTAAGCGACCCCAAACCCGACTTCCTTGTCCCCTCGCGGCTTCGTGCCGAGTCCCCGGGGACTCTCGCTGCCTGCCTAGGACACCGCGGCCCCTCGCCCTGTGCATCACAGTCGAGCGCCTCCCTCACTGCACAGCCAACCATGCCAGGTCCTCCCTGCAGCCTCACCTTCCGGGAGAGGCCCAGGGTCCCATCTGTGAAATGGGCTTCAGAAGAAGGGCTGGAAAGGCCCTGGGCTAGATGAAGGAGGCGGCTAAGAGGGCCTGGGGCTTGGCCTGGCACTCGGAGCTGGGTGGGGCCGCGCCCTCCATACCCAGCTGTGTCCTGCACTTGTCCTTGGTCCGCAGCTCTCGCTAGACCCATTCAGGGAGGCTGAGCTGTCTGGTAGTTGAGTGCACTGACTCTGACGGGGAAAAGTTAATCCTCCCTCCACCTGCTGCCTCTGTGCCTTTGTCCCCACCCTCTTCCTCAACTCCAAAATGAAGCAGGCATAGTAAATGGAACTCCACAAATGGCAGTTTCCTACAGTCCTTACTAATCACTTGTTTTAAGAGTGCCATAGTTAATGTTATATTCTGCAAGATACTGTGCGGAGGATAGGGTTTCTAACCTGGTTAGGTGACAACCAGGAGGGGAGGAGTGGAGGGAGCGCTAACCCCCGTTCTTAGCCAGGTACTGGTATTTTCTCTGGGAGCTGTTACTCATCTTTACTTTCTTGTAGATTACACTCTGTCATTCTCTGAATCTCCAACCTTTCATTTATTAAATCATTGATTTATTAGGCTTAGAAGTGCCTGGCTTGGTCGAGGGATTGGAATACAGTGATCAATAAGGCAGACGTGGCCACTTTCCTAGGGCAGAAGGCCAGCACTTACAAATGTCATGATTGAGGCCTAGTGGGAGAGGTGTGACTGGGCCCTGATCCCTGGGGCAGGCAGAGGCTTGTCTCAGGAAGCAGTGTAGTCAGAAAAGAAACAATGGGTCCCTGTGAGATCCTAGACAGGAAAAAGCCCGAGACCCCTTGGTGGTCAGCTGTGACTGCCTGGAACCTAGGTGAATGACAGGAAAAAAAGATGGAAGACTTGAGCAAAAGGTAGGCAGGGATTGGATCATACAGGTTTTGGAGTTCTCCTGAGACATTAGAAATCTGTAAGATTTCAATTCACTAAAGAGCCACAGTTTTATGCATGGAAATAACTTGGACAGGCAGGAAATCAAGTGGGAGAGGGTAGACTTCAAAGCCCTGGCAGCAGGAACGTAATAGCCACTCTTCCCACAAGTATCTGTTATGTGCCAAGCCCAATCAAGATGCTTTAGAGGTGTTCTCCTGTTCATCTTCCCTGTAGCCTTTTAAAGGAAGGAGGACTTGCTAACATTATCCATTTTTAGATGGAGGTGACTGAGGAAGAACTGGAAACTGAATTCTCAAAGGTAGTCTCTGAATCCCACAGTATACCATGCTAAATCCAAGGCAGGGTGGACACGTTTGAAAGATTCAGGTGCAAGGAGAGGTTCTCTGGACTGTTGTAATAGTCTCTTTCCCCAGTGCTTCACTATAAATGACCTGTTACTCGCTAAGATCTCTTACAGTTTCTAGAAACTCTTCCAGTTTCTACCTTGTGTGTACATAGCATTTTATTTTTCTTTAAATACTTAGTAGGATTTATCAGTGGAGACACATGTATGCCATAGATTTTGGGGGGAAAGATTTGTAACTACATACTCAGTTACTTTAAAAGGTAGAGGGCTCTTCATCTTTTCCATATCCCCTGACTAAACTGGTGATTTGCATTTTTAAGAGATTTATCCATTTAATACAAGTTCTTAAATTTATTGACATAAAGTGGTTTGTCCTATTTCTGTATTATCCTTTTATTATCTATCTATCTACATATATATATCATATCATCTTTGTAATTTCTAATATTGGCAACTTATGTCTTTTTTCTTTTTGATTATTAGGTCTGGATAGAAGTTTACCAATTATATTTCCCTAAATCTTAAGGTTTTCTATTTTTTACTTCCTTTTCACTTGATTTTTGCTTTAATCTTTATTATTTACTTTCTTCTGCTAATTTTTGTTTTGTTCTTTTCCTGGTTTCTTAAAGTGGGAGCTAACCCTTCAAATAACCTTTTAGCTGCATCCCAGTACTTTGATATTCTAGTTTTGCTTTTTTTCATTCTGTTCAAAATACTAACATTTCTTTTGATTTTTCTGATGCCCAGTGTTTCACAAAATGTTACTTTCATGCATTTAGTCTTGAATTTAAATTATTTTCAGCTGTGAGGATAAATTTTATCCTATGACTTCATGTCCAGAACCTAAAATTTCAGCTACTGTTATGGTTAAGTCTGGTCCTATGCCTCAGTTTTCTCACTCTCTAGTTTCATAAATAAAACTTTATTTATATGCTACCAGTGCACTCTTCTGGTTTTACACTTAGCTCCCCTAGCCACCCCCGGTATTGAGGATTGAACCCAGGGCCCTCTCAACAAGCCCTTTAAAAAATAAAGTTAATGTCTCACCAAGTTCCTAAATTTCTCAGGCTGAGCTTGAATTTGGTATCCTCCTGGATTCCAAAGTGCTGGAATTATAGTTGGGCATCACCATACCTGGCCCTGTTTAGCTTTTAATAGCCAAGTAGCATCTTAAGCTTTCCTTTATCAGTTGTGTTTAGCTACCACCACCCAGCACAACTGTCTTTTAATTTATAGGCCCCCTATATTTCTGTAATACATGATAGTCATGCTCGCTAGAGAATTCCCTTTCACTTGTATCCTATCTCTTCTCAACAGCAGTGAAAGTCTTAATGATTGCACAGCTGTGTCTGACTAAGCACTCTCTGTGTCCCACCAGCTGACCATAATGGTGTCCACATTGCCAGTCTAGCTGCAGATTTGAATCAAATCACAAATCTCAACTAACATCTGTTTTAGTGGACCACTTTAGCATGCAGGAAGTGTAACAGAAAAGCTTCTTGGAGTGGGAATATTAGGGAAGAAGGCAAGGTAAGATCAGAGGGGGATTTGGGCAGAGATACTTTTTCATAAAGGCCCCAGTTAGCCAACCGCAGGAGCCCTACACTTGAAATGGACTTTCTGATTTGCCCAAGTTGGGTGAAGGCCTGTACCTGTACAGCCTGACATCAACTGGTCATTGAAAATGGTCTTATCTGGGAAAGGATATGACCTTGAATGAAATGTTACCCTTCAGCACAGGCAGCTCCCAAAGAAATGAGCAGCTTCGGTTGGCTGCTGGCAGAGCTCCCGACAGTTAGAGGAATTAATCTTGCAGTTTTGAGAAGCCAGCCAGCACATTGTATCATCAAAGGTAGCCTGGGATGCCCTCTGCTCATTTGTTTATCTGGAAAACTTTGACTCCCATTTCACAATTCAGCGCAGGCTGGTCCTCAATGAAGTCTCTTGTGACCTCTCTCCCCTGACTTAAGGACACTGACCATTTCTGCCTTTGTGCACATCAATGCCTTACTTTGTGAAATAGTAACTCTCCTTCATAGCCCCTAAAAGGATCATTGGATTTTAGGGTACAGTATAACTACTAATAATGTTCTTTATGATGAGTCTGGTTCGGTAAGAAAAGGCATTTTCTTTACAAGTTTATTTTGATAATGGTAACAAGATAAAAAGCCTGTATACTTCAAGAGGTAAGCTTCACCTATTTGTGACTCCTTTATTTCTACTAACTCTCTATTTCATATATGTGTCTGCTAGATTTTTCAATATGTTTGAAAATTCTGACAAGTCTGCTAAAAGTATCTATTGACTCAGCTTACTCTGTGAGAACGACAGAGCTTTTTACAGAACCTGATGAAAACTTTGAAGAAATGAATATTAAATTGTCAATATTAGAGGTTTTAGGACACTGATGAGTACATGGAAAAGCTTTGTAGAAGTCAAAATAGCCAGACAACCTCTAATCTCAGAAACTTTTCCTCCTATCCTTTGTCCTGCAGTTATCTTAATGGCACTCAAATTATCAAGAACTTAACAGTGCTAAGAAACTGGAAAGAAAGCTAAGCTGACTAACCAGTTTGGTTAAACCTTAGGATCCCCCTGGCAGCATCTTTAAGTGAAGATAAATACCTGAGATTAGAGCCTTCAATGTCCCTCATCAAGCACTAATTCCTCGACTCATGCAAATACTGGTTAGCCCCTTCCAGGGTCAGACACTTCTTTATCTGAGGTTTACTACTTGAAACTTTCTAAAATAAGGAAATGAAAGAAACATTTCACATAGTACCTTGACATGTTTGTCTATACCATCCGCCAGGTATTATAATGCTATTTCTAGAAAGTCTCATGATTACATTAATACTTCCAAAAGATTTTTAAATTCCTAAAAGTGCACATTAAGTGCAATGGTGCATTATTCAAAGTGATACCTTGTAAAGCAGAACAATGCTCTTTGAAGTTAAAGAGTGCTTTAAATTAGATAATACTGTATATAGAACTGCAAAAGGCTTTCTCATTTAAACATGTCAAACATTATAATCTCCATGCATTGTATAGATGTTCTTACTCATTTCTTAATGAGAACTGTGTTTTTTGCATTGAGGTTTGCCTTTGTACATAAATCAGTATTGTGTTACAAATTTCTTAAGTGCTATACAACAGCATGCCACAGAGCTGTTTTCTTCCTATAGCACAATTCAGGAAAGGGCCATTGGGAAATTTAATGTCACAGTCTGTGTTGCTACCAGTGATTCTCCATTTAAAAAAATCTGTCCTACTTCTGCATAACTTATTTTTGGGCACGTTTCCTATTGTGCTGAATGACTGTTGAGTCCCCCTCTTGTGTGTGTGTGTGTGTGTGTGTGTGTGTGTGTGTGTGTGTGTGTGTGTGTTTTGAATAGGGTGCATGTGTGTATTATGAATTAGTCATTAATGATAAAGGAATGGCCCTCATTCCCACCTCCTTTAATAGTGATTTTCATCGTAATCATCATGACTGGGAAATGCTGATCAATATAATTCCTATTA